TTGAACGATTGTCTGTATTCGGGACCGGATCTGATGAATGACTTGGCTGGGGTACTATTGAGATTTAGAAAACATCGGATAACCTTGTCAGCAGATATTGAGGAGATGTTTCTTCAGGTTCACTTACCTGTCAAGGATAAAAGTGCCTTTAGTTTCTTATGGTATTCTGAGGGTAGACTGGACTTACCACCGAGCCTGTATGAATTAAACGTACATCGCTTCGGTGCTACCTCATCACTTTTTGTGCAGCCTATGCTTTAAAACGAGCCACAATCGACAACGCGAAATTGTTTGACGAGAAGACATTAAGCACTGTCAGAGAAAATTTCTATGTGGATGATTGTCTAGTCTCAGTAGAAACAGTAGCAGAAGCCATAGCTTTATCCAACCAGCTGCGTCAGCTCGCCTCTCTTGGTGGATTTCGTTTGCACAAATGGAATAGTAACAATGAAGAAGTGTTATCCAACATTCCCGTTCGTGAACGGTCCTCAAACATACTGCATTTAGAAGATTCGACGAATGTCGAGAAGACACTGGGTTTATGCTGGTGTGTCAAGTCAGATTGCTTCAGGTTTGAAGTAAATCTGCCAGTACGTCCGATAACGAAGAGGGGAATCTTGTCGTGCATAGCTTCTTTATATGATCCACTCGGTTATGTCGCCCCACTACTACTTCCACCTAAAAGAGTAATGCAACACCTGTGCCGAAGTGAGTTTGGGTGGGATGAACATGTTGACGTGAGTATCGGTGCCAAATGGGAGGCTTGGCTTGTTGACATTAAGAGAATTAAGGATCTAGAGGTTCAACGTTGTTTTCGACCCCAGACCTTCAGTCCTATAGCAGTTTCAATGCACCTATTTTCGGATGCCTCTGAAATAGGTTTCGGTTCAGTAGCATATCTACGTTACGAGTCCTGTTCAGGAGAAGTAAGCTGCAGCTTTGTTATGGGCAAATCTAGAGTGGCTCCCTTGAAGCATGTCACCGTGCCACGTTTAGAACTACAAGCAGCCGTGCTCTCAGTGAAGCTGTTAAAATACATCTTAGAGGAAATAAAGTTGGAACTAAGTGATGTTTATCTATGGACAGATTCTATGATTGTGTTAAGCTACATCCGCAATACCACATCCCGCTTCAAAACCTACATAGCTAACAGAGTAGGGTTTATACTTGATAACACTACGCGGCCTCAATGGCGACATGTACCAACTAATATGAATCCAGCTGACCTTGCCTCCAGGGGAATAAAGATGAGTGAGTACGAGCGTATACATACCTGGCTCGATGGTCCTGAATTTCTCAAAAATCCTAAAAAGGATTGACCGAATTTCGATGGAAAAAGCGTGCCAATAATTCCATCTGACATAAAGCTAAAGCAAGCCACCATCTTAACGACACAAACAGCCGTAAATCTGATAGACACCTTATTCTCGTATTTCTCTTCTTGGACAAAACTTCGTAGAACGGTAGCCTGGTTAAAAAGGATTAAAGTTTTTCTACTAAAACGTCTAGTGCAAGGCCCTTTACAAACGTGTGAGATGTTAGAGGCAGAGGAAGATATCCTTAGATACGTGCAAAAACAAGAGTTCGGTAAAATCAAAGGAGTTATGTGTGAACGCTATTTGGATAGTAAATACAAGCCACTCCTTCAACGTATCAAGAAACTGCATCCTGTCATCTTAGGTGACTTGATATGTGTCGGCGGACGACTGAATAATAGTCAACTGTCAAGTTCGGAAAAACATCCAGTTATATTGCCAGGAACTCATCCTGTCACGGAGGTTATTGTTCGTTATTATCATGAGACTGAAGGACATATGGGAGTAGCCCATCTTTTGTCAGCATTGCGTATGAAATATTGGATATTGAAAGGAGCGGCAGTAGTTAGGCGTGTGGTGAATAAATGCATCGGTTGCCGAATCAGGTCTGCAAAACCTACTGAACAACTGATGGCAGAATTACCCATAGCAAGGGTCACGTCAGATTTTCCATTCTCTAGCACCGGGGTAGATTACTTCGACCCCTTTATCGTTAGGCGGGGGCGGACTACAGACAAAAGATATGGATGCATATTCACTTGTTTGAAAACTCGAGCGGTTCACTTAGAAGTAGCTTACGCTCTTTCTATCGATTCATTCCTAATGATGCTTTCACGCTTTACCAACCGCAGGGGGACTCCAAGGGAGATATACAGTGACCGGGGTACAAACTTTGTGGGGGCTGATCGTGAGTTACAGCAAGTTGTGCCACAATTAGACAGTGATTGTATGATGAGAGCTATGACAAATCGTGGTATAGAATGGAAGTTAAATCCACCTTATGCTAGCCACCGTGGCGGAGTATGGGAGAGGTTGATCGGAAGCGTACGTCGAGTGTTAAGCGCAGTTTCGAAGGAGCAAGTCCTCACAGATGAATCACTCATGACCTATTTGACAGAAGTAGAAAGGATACTAAATAGTAGGCCGCTAGTACCTGTTTATGATGACTCAAGTCAGTTGGATGTGCTGACACCAAATCATATTCTCTTATCAAGAAATCCTGAACAGGTTCCTGAAATCGACGTTAGTTTATGTGGACGTTATTCACGACGATGGAAACAAGGGCAACTCCTTGCCGATACGTTTTGGAGACGGTGGAAGCGGGAGTACTTGACGACCTTACAATCGCGTGCAAAGTGGGTTCAACGACATCGAAACTTACAAGTGGGAGACCTAGTACTAGTGACTGCGGAGCCTTCACCTCGCAATCGTTGGTCATTGGGAATAATTACAGGTGTTACGGCAAGCTGTGATGGGTATTTCAGAAAAGTGGATATCAAGACACCGAGGGGTATAGTGAACCGAGATGTGCGTAAGGTTTGCCTATTAGAAGGTATTGAGGAGAGATAAGCACTTTGTAGGATATATAGCTGGATAGTGGATGCAGATGTGGCGAGAGTAAATTGTACCATTTCTGTGTCTTACTAGCAGGTAGAGTAGGGAAAACCAGGCTGGTTTTGAGGGGGCGGTGTTAATTCCTTTCCTACCTGTTCATTCTCAATCTTTCCTTTGTTCAACATTATACTACTTGCCATCAGTAAGTAGTATGATGTTTATATGTTAATTTATAACAATGACATTTGCTCACAACTGCAGTTAAATTACTTGTTCTATTATCATTCTATTAATGTATAGTTCTTATTTGTTCTCCTTAAACATTATTTGCTGACCTTACCCTATAGTGTATGCTTTACTATTGAAAGTTGTTTGTTCATATTTGTTTATTCTTTGCTTGGCATTCGCGGGCCGTTTGAACCGACACGTGGATCGACCTTGACACAGCATTGCTGTTTTTACTTATTGACTGCACAGTGGTTGTGCATTTGACGGCATTTAGCCACAGACACCTCACATTTTGAGGTTTGTATATTATATATCTATTTTTATGTAATAAAGTAGCGTATTGCAGAATATCCTGTATTTCGGACTTTACGCGTCACTCTACGTGTGGTTAAATCTATAGTTTGGATTATCGTTTCGGATTTCTTTCGGGAGAAATTCACAACGCGGGTATATGGATATATCCCGCAATGTATTAAGAAGTGGTATCAGAGAGTCGAACATCGCCGGTAAATATTCCCAATTTCACTTTGAGTGCGGATGTTGGATTCTTGGTGGTGGTGGCGGTTGTTCGTCTGTCTGCGTACTATCTCCCAAGTTAAGTGGTATTATAAGGTGAACTTTATTGAGTTTATTTGTTGAGTGCTAGTCAAAGAAGGGAATATAATCGAAGAGGTCGTAAAGTTATGATATTGAGTCGGTTAGGACATATGATATGCATGCTTAGCCGTCGTCTTCCTCAACGTGGAATGTTAGCTGACTTAGGATCAGGCATAAAAAGAGCTAGCGGTGGTCAATCCAAAATATGGCATCAGTCAATGAAATCTGTAACAGTTAGTTTAAGCAAACTAGCCATCCAGCCACGTAGGGAGGTGTAGATTTCGTGACCGGTTGGGGTCCTTGGGATGGTAACAACCAATGAGTGGAAACAATTGGTGATGTGGCTGAAATTGTTCTCAGTGGCTTAGATCCTATCAATCTGTGATGTCATATCCAATAAAACTCCATTGTTCTTCCACATTTCTATTCTTTTTCCCTCTCAGTTCTTTTTATTACCTCTGCATTGAATCTCTCATTACTCTCTTCTCTTGCTTTGTGTGTTACATGGAGATGAGTGCGGCAAGTCGAGCTGCTGCACATCTATGCAAAGGTCTACGTTGAAACCATTCAGTCAGTCGGCAGACTATGCACAGCTGTAGCACATTTCTTTACTAGTTCACAATAAAACTGTTATCAGAAGCTGAGAGATACTAATCAGAGCAGTGGAAAGTGAACCAAAATTCACACCTAAATTTCTGATACCATAAGACACAGGTTATGTTTTCAAAGACATTTAATAATCTTTATATATCTTACATAAATAAGACAATATTTCATATTTGATAATTGCTGTCTAATTCATTGGAAAGCCAATCAATTTAAGTTAGTTAATTCAGGAAGAATTATATTTCAGTGGTTACGTGCAGACACCAAATGAATTAGGAATACCAATTGGAATAATTAAAATATTTGAAAACTGAATGAATAACAAACATTAAACCGTTAAGGGAGGTGGAAATAAATGAAACCCATCACAATGTGTGTAGTGAATGATAAGCAGGAAGAAACATTGAAAAAATTCTAAAGGTAAAGGAAAAATGAATGACTTCATTGAAGAAGATTAATTCAAAAATCATGCTTGAAAAATATCCAGTAGGTGTGAATGACGCGATTGATATCGTTTATTGAACACATGTGTGAAAATTTAAACAAAATAATGAAATTTGAAGCGAAAAACAAAGTGAGCAATAAAAAAAAATCAGGAAACAATGAGCATTAAAACAAGCAAAAGTCAGAAATTGAAAACAACAAAGGGATCAAAAAAACATAAGAAGAAGTGAATCCAACGGAATAGAGAAAAAGTATTTAAAGACAAATGCGTAAACCAGGTAGGAACTGAGATAACAAATCAGGAAGAGGAACACAATTCGAGGAACAATTCGAAGAAGCAGAGGAAGAAACAGAAGTAAATCGTCCAGTAGAGTTACGAGAAACATAATCTGATATATTTGCCAGAATATTATTACTGGAATTGCCCACAGAAATAGAAGAATTAGGATTATTAAAAGTAGCTTGGATTATTCCTGATGTGGCCGGCCATCCTGAGGGACTAGTGGTTGTTTGGTTTGTTGTAGTGGTGTTAGTTGTTATTGGTATTCGATTGGTTGTTGTCTGGTTTGTTAGAGTTGTGGTCGTCGGCTGTGGTGTTGGAGTGGTGGTTGTTTGGTTTGTTGTAGTGGTGTTAGTTGTTATTGGTATTCGAGTGGTTGTTGTCTGGTTTGTTAGAGTTGTGGTCGTCGGCTGTGGTGTTGGAGTGGTGGTTGTTTGGTTTGTTGTAGTGGTGTTAGTTGTTATTGGTATTCGATTGGTTGTTGTCTGGTTTGTTAGAGTTGTGGTCGTCGGCTGTGGTGTTGGAGTGGTGGTTGTTTGGTTTGTTGTAGTGGTGTTAGTTGTTATTGGTATTCGATTGGTTGTTGTCTGGTTTGTTAGAGTTGTGGTCGTCGGCTGTGGTGTTGGAGTGGTGGTTGTTTGGTTTGTTGTAGTGGTGTTAGTTGTTATTGGTATTCGATTGGTTGTTGTCTGGTTTGTTAGAGTTGTGGTCGTCGGCTGTGGTGTTGGAGTGGTGGTTGTTTGGTTTGTTGTAGTGGTGTTAGTTGTTATTGGTATTCGATTGGTTGTTGTCTGGTTTGTTAGAGTTGTGGTCGTCGGCTGTGGTGTTGGAGTGGTGGTTGTTTGGTTTGTTGTAGTGGTGTTAGTTGTTATTGGTATTCGATTGGTTGTTGTCTGGTTTGTTAGAGTTGTGGTCGTCGGCTGTGGTGTTGGAGTGGTGGTTGTTTGGCTTGTTGTAGTGGTGTTAGTTGTTATTGGTATTCGATTGGTTGTTGTCTGGTTTGTTAGAGTTGTGGTCGTCGGCTGTGGTGTTGGAGTGGTGGTTGTTTGGTTTGTTGTAGTGGTGTTAGTTGTTATTGGTATTCGATTGGTTGTTGTCTGGTTTGTTAGAGTTGTGGTCGTCGGCTGTGGTGTTGGAGTGGTGGTTGTTTGGTTTGTTGTAGTGGTGTTAGTTGTTATTGGTATTCGATTGGTTGTTGTCTGGTTTGTTAGAGTTGTGGTCGTCGGCTGTGGTGTTGGAGTGGTGGTTGTTTGGTTTGTTGTAGTGGTGTTAGTTGTTATTGGTATTCGATTGGTTGTTGTCTGGTTTGTTAGAGTTGTGGTCGTCGGCTGTGGTGTTGGAGTGGTGGTTGTTTGGTTTGTTGTAGTGGTGTTAGTTGTTATTGGTATTCGATTGGTTGTTGTCTGGTTTGTTAGAGTTGTGGTCGTCGGCTGTGGTGTTGGAGTGGTGGTTGTTTGGTTTGTTGTAGTGGTGTTAGTTGTTATTGGTATTCGATTGGTTGTTGTCTGGTTTGTTAGAGTTGTGGTCGTCGGCTGTGGTGTTGGAGTGGTGGTTGTTTGGTTTGTTGTAGTGGTGTTAGTTGTTATTGGTATTCGATTGGTTGTTGTCTGGTTTGTTAGAGTTGTGGTCGTCGGCTGTGGTGTTGGAGTGGTGGTTGTTTGGTTTGTTGTAGTGGTGTTAGTTGTTATTGGTATTCGATTGGTTGTTGTCTGGTTTGTTAGAGTTGTGGTCGTCGGCTGTGGTGTTGGAGTGGTGGTTGTTTGGTTTGTTGTAGTGGTGTTAGTTGTTATTGGTATTCGATTGGTTGTTGTCTGGTTTGTTAGAGTTGTGGTCGTCGGCTGTGGTGTTGGAGTGGTGGTTGTTTGGTTTGTTGTAGTGGTGTTAGTTGTTATTGGTATTCGATTGGTTGTTGTCTGGTTTGTTAGAGTTGTGGTCGTCGGCTGTGGTGTTGGAGTGGTGGTTGTTTGGTTTGTTGTAGTGGTGTTAGTTGTTATTGGTATTCGATTGGTTGTTGTCTGGTTTGTTAGAGTTGTGGTCGTCGGCTGTGGTGTTGGAGTGGTGGTTGTTTGGTTTGTTGTAGTGGTGTTAGTTGTTATTGGTATTCGATTGGTTGTTGTCTGGTTTGTTAGAGTTGTGGTCGTCGGCTGTGGTGTTGGAGTGGTGGTTGTTTGGTTTGTTGTAGTGGTGTTAGTTGTTATTGGTATTCGATTGGTTGTTGTCTGGTTTGTTAGAGTTGTGGTCGTCGGCTGTGGTGTTGGAGTGGTGGTTGTTTGGTTTGTTGTAGTGGTGTTAGTTGTTATTGGTATTCGATTGGTTGTTGTCTGGTTTGTTAGAGTTGTGGTCGTCGGCTGTGGTGTTGGAGTGGTGGTTGTTTGGTTTGTTGTAGTGGTGTTAGTTGTTATTGGTATTCGATTGGTTGTTGTCTGGTTTGTTAGAGTTGTGGTCGTCGGCTGTGGTGTTGGAGTGGTGGTTGTTTGGTTTGTTGTAGTGGTGTTAGTTGTTATTGGTATTCGATTGGTTGTTGTCTGGTTTGTTAGAGTTGTGGTCGTCGGCTGTGGTGTTGGAGTGGTGGTTGTTTGGTTTGTTGTAGTGGTGTTAGTTGTTATTGGTATTCGATTGGTTGTTGTCTGGTTTGTTAGAGTTGTGGTCGTCGGCTGTGGTGTTGGAGTGGTGGTTGTTTGGTTTGTTGTAGTGGTGTTAGTTGTTATTGGTATTCGATTGGTTGTTGTCTGGTTTGTTAGAGTTGTGGTCGTCGGCTGTGGTGTTGGAGTGGTGGTTGTTTGGCTTGTTGTAGTGGTGTTAGTTGTTATTGGTATTCGATTGGTTGTTGTCTGGTTTGTTAGAGTTGTGGTCGTCGGCTGTGGTGTTGGAGTGGTGGTTGTTTGGTTTGTTGTAGTGGTGTTAGTTGTTATTGGTATTCGATTGGTTGTTGTCTGGTTTGTTAGAGTTGTGGTCGTCGGCTGTGGTGTTGGAGTGGTGGTTGTTTGGTTTGTTGTAGTGGTGTTAGTTGTTATTGGTATTCGATTGGTTGTTGTCTGGTTTGTTAGAGTTGTGGTCGTCGGCTGTGGTGTTGGAGTGGTGGTTGTTTGGTTTGTTGTAGTGGTGTTAGTTGTTATTGGTATTCGATTGGTTGTTGTCTGGTTTGTTAGAGTTGTGGTCGTCGGCTGTGGTGTTGGAGTGGTGGTTGTTTGGTTTGTTGTAGTGGTGTTAGTTGTTATTGGTATTCGATTGGTTGTTGTCTGGTTTGTTAGAGTTGTGGTCGTCGGCTGTGGTGTTGGAGTGGTGGTTGTTTGGTTTGTTGTAGTGGTGTTAGTTGTTAGTGGTATTCGATTGGTTGTTGTCTGGTTTGTTAGAGTTGTGGTCGTCGGCTGTGGTGTTGGAGTGGTGGTTGTTTGGTTTGTTGTAGTGGTGTTAGTTGTTATTGGTATTCGATTGGTTGTTGTCTGGTTTGTTAGAGTTGTGGTCGTCGGCTGTGGTGTTGGAGTGGTGGTTGTTTGGCTTGTTGTAGTGGTGTTAGTTGTTATTGGTATTCGATTGGTTGTTGTCTGGTTTGTTAGAGTTGTGGTCGTCGGCTGTGGTGTTGGAGTGGTGGTTGTTTGGTTTGTTGTAGTGGTGTTAGTTGTTATTGGTATTCGATTGGTTGTTGTCTGGTTTGTTAGAGTTGTGGTCGTCGGCTGTGGTGTTGGAGTGGTGGTTGTTTGGTTTGTTGTAGTGGTGTTAGTTGTTATTGGTATTCGATTGGTTGTTGTCTGGTTTGTTAGAGTTGTGGTCGTCGGCTGTGGTGTTGGAGTGGTGGTTGTTTGGTTTGTTGTAGTGGTGTTAGTTGTTATTGGTATTCGATTGGTTGTTGTCTGGTTTGTTAGAGTTGTGGTCGTCGGCTGTGGTGTTGGAGTGGTGGTTGTTTGGTTTGTTGTAGTGGTGTTAGTTGTTATTGGTATTCGATTGGTTGTTGTCTGGTTTGTTAGAGTTGTGGTCGTCGGCTGTGGTGATGGAGTGGTGGTTGTTTGGTTTGTTGTAGTGGTGTTAGTTGTTATTGGTATTCGATTGGTTGTTGTCTGGTTTGTTAGAGTTGTGGTCGTCGGCTGTGGTGTTGGAGTGGTGGTTGTTTGGTTTGTTGTAGTGGTGTTAGTTGTTATTGGTATTCGATTGGTTGTTGTCTGGTTTGTTAGAGTTGTGGTCGTCGGCTGTGGTGTTGGAGTGGTGGTTGTTTGGTTTGTTGTAGTGGTGTTAGTTGTTATTGGTATTCGATTGGTTGTTGTCTGGTTTGTTAGAGTTGTGGTCGTCGGCTGTGGTGTTGGAGTGGTGGTTGTTTGGTTTGTTGTAGTGGTGTTAGTTGTTATTGGTATTCGATTGGTTGTTGTCTGGTTTGTTAGAGTTGTGGTCGTCGGCTGTGGTGTTGGAGTGGTGGTTGTTTGGTTTGTTGTAGTGGTGTTAGTTGTTATTGGTATTCGATTGGTTGTTGTCTGGTTTGTTAGAGTTGTGGTCGTCGGCTGTGGTGTTGGAGTGGTGGTTGTTTGGTTTGTTGTAGTGGTGTTAGTTGTTATTGGTATTCGATTGGTTGTTGTCTGGTTTGTTAGAGTTGTGGTCGTCGGCTGTGGTGTTGGAGTGGTGGTTGTTTGGTTTGTTTTAGTGGTGTTAGTTGTTATTGGTATTCGATTGGTTGTTGTCTGGTTTGTTAGAGTTGTGGTCGTCGGCTGTGGTGTTGGAGTGGTGGTTGTTTGGTTTGTTGTAGTGGTGTTAGTTGTTATTGGTATTCGATTGGTTGTTGTCTGGTTTGTTAGAGTTGTGGTCGTCGGCTGTGGTGTTGGAGTGGTGGTTGTTTGGTTTGTTGTAGTGGTGTTAGTTGTTATTGGTATTCGATTGGTTGTTGTCTGGTTTGTTAGAGTTGTGGTCGTCGGCTGTGGTGTTGGAGTGGTGGTTGTTTGGTTTGTTGTAGTGGTGTTAGTTGTTATTGGTATTCGATTGGTTGTTGTCTGGTTTGTTAGAGTTGTGGTCGTCGGCTGTGGTGTTGGAGTGGTGGTTGTTTGGTTTGTTGTAGTGGTGTTAGTTGTTATTGGTATTCGATTGGTTGTTGTCTGGTTTGTTAGAGTTGTGGTCGTCGGCTGTGGTGTTGGAGTGGTGGTTGTTTGGTTTGTTGTAGTGGTGTTAGTTGTTATTGGTATTCGATTGGTTGTTGTCTGGTTTGTTAGAGTTGTGGTCGTCGGCTGTGGTGTTGGAGTGGTGGTTGTTTGGTTTGTTGTAGTGGTGTTAGTTGTTATTGGTATTCGATTGGTTGTTGTCTGGTTTGTTAGAGTTGTGGTCGTCGGCTGTGGTGTTGGAGTGGTGGTTGTTTGGTTTGTTGTAGTGGTGTTAGTTGTTATTGGTATTCGATTGGTTGTTGTCTGGTTTGTTAGAGTTGTGGTCGTCGGCTGTGGTGTTGGAGTGGTGGTTGTTTGGTTTGTTGTAGTGGTGTTAGTTGTTATTGGTATTCGATTGGTTGTTGTCTGGTTTGTTAGAGTTGTGGTCGTCGGCTGTGGTGTTGGAGTGGTGGTTGTTTGGTTTGTTGTAGTGGTGTTAGTTGTTATTGGTATTCGATTGGTTGTTGTCTGGTTTGTTAGAGTTGTGGTCGTCGGCTGTGGTGTTGGAGTGGTGGTTGTTTGGTTTGTTGTAGTGGTGTTAGTTGTTATTGGTATTCGATTGGTTGTTGTCTGGTTTGTTAGAGTTGTGGTCGTCGGCTGTGGTGTTGGAGTGGTGGTTGTTTGGTTTGTTGTAGTGGTGTTAGTTGTTATTGGTATTCGATTGGTTGTTGTCTGGTTTGTTAGAGTTGTGGTCGTCGGCTGTGGTGTTGGAGTGGTGGTTGTTTGGTTTGTTGTAGTGGTGTTAGTTGTTATTGGTATTCGATTGGTTGTTGTCTGGTTTGTTAGAGTTGTGGTCGTCGGCTGTGGTGTTGGAGTGGTGGTTGTTTGGTTTGTTGTAGTGGTGTTAGTTGTTATTGGTATTCGATTGGTTGTTGTCTGGTTTGTTAGAGTTGTGGTCGTCGGCTGTGGTGTTGGAGTGGTGGTTGTTTGGTTTGTTGTAGTGGTGTTAGTTGTTATTGGTATTCGATTGGTTGTTGTCTGGTTTGTTAGAGTTGTGGTCGTCGGCTGTGGTGTTGGAGTGGTGGTTGTTTGGTTTGTTGTAGTGGTGTTAGTTGTTATTGGTATTCGATTGGTTGTTGTCTGGTTTGTTAGAGTTGTGGTCGTCGGCTGTGGTGTTGGAGTGGTGGTTGTTTGGTTTGTTGTAGTGGTGTTAGTTGTTATTGGTATTCGATTGGTTGTTGTCTGGTTTGTTAGAGTTGTGGTCGTCGGCTGTGGTGTTGGAGTGGTGGTTGTTTGGTTTGTTGTAGTGGTGTTAGTTGTTATTGGTATTCGATTGGTTGTTGTCTGGTTTGTTAGAGTTGTGGTCGTCGGCTGTGGTGTTGGAGTGGTGGTTGTTTGGTTTGTTGTAGTGGTGTTAGTTGTTATTGGTATTCGATTGGTCGTTGTCTGGTTTGTTAGAGTTGTGGTCGTCGGCTGTGGTGTTGGAGTGGTGGTTGTTTGGTTTGTTGTAGTGGTGTTAGTTGTTATTGGTATTCGATTGGTTGTTGTCTGGTTTGTTAGAGTTGTGGTGGTCGGCTGTGGTGTTGGAGTGGTGGTTGTTTGGTTTGTTGTAGTGGTGTTAGTTGTTATTGGTATTCGATTGGTTGTTGTCTGGTTTGTTAGAGTTGTGGTCGTCGGCTGTGGTGTTGGAGTGGTGGTTGTTTGGTTTGTTGTAGTGGTGTTAGTTGTTATTGGTATTCGATTGGTTGTTGTCTGGTTTGTTAGAGTTGTGGTCGTCGGCTGTGGTGTTGGAGTGGTGGTTGTTTGGTTTGTTGGAGTGGTGTTAGTTGTTATTGGTATTCGATTGGTTGTTGTCTGGTTTGTTAGAGTTGTGGTCGTCGGCTGTGGTGTTGGAGTGGTGGTTGTTTGGTTTGTTGTAGTGGTGTTAGTTGTTATTGGTATTCGATTGGTTGTTGTCTGGTTTGTTAGAGTTGTGGTCGTCGGCTGTGGTGTTGGAGTGGTGGTTGTTTGGTTTGTTGTAGTGGTGTTAGTTGTTATTGGTATTCGATTGGTCGTTGTCTGGTTTGTTAGAGTTGTGGTCGTCGGCTGTGGTGTTGGAGTGGTGGTTGTTTGGTTTGTTGTAGTGGTGTTAGTTGTTATTGGTATTCGATTGGTTGTTGTCTGGTTTGTTAGAGTTGTGGTCGTCGGCTGTGGTGTTGGAGTGGTGGTTGTTTGGTTTGTTTTAGTGGTGTTAGTTGTTATTGGTATTCGATTGGTTGTTGTCTGGTTTGTTAGAGTTGTGGTCGTCGGCTGTGGTGTTGGAGTGGTGGTTGTTTGGCTTGTTGTAGTGGTGTTAGTTGTTATTGGTATTCGATTGGTTGTTGTCTGGTTTGTTAGAGTTGTGGTCGTCGGCTGTGGTGTTGGAGTGGTGGTTGTTTGGTTTGTTGTAGTGGTGTTAGTTGTTATTGGTATTCGATTGGTTGTTGTCTGGTTTGTTAGAGTTGTGGTCGTCGGTTGTGGTGTTGGAGTGGTGGTTGTTTGGTTTGTTGTAGTGGTGTTAGTTGTTATTGGTATTCGATTGGTTGTTGTCTGGTTTGTTAGAGTTGTGGTCGTCGGCTGTGGTGTTGGAGTGGTGGTTGTTTGGTTTGTTGTAGTGGTGTTAGTTGTTATTGGTATTCGATTGGTCGTTGTCTGGTTTGTTAGAGTTGTGGTCGTCGGCTGTGGTGTTGGAGTGGTGGTTGTTTGGTTTGTTGTAGTGGTGTTAGTTGTTATTGGTATTCGATTGGTTGTTGTCTGGTTTGTTAGAGTTGTGGTCGTCGGTTGTGGTGTTGGAGTGGTGGTTGTTTGGTTTGTTGTAGTGGTGTTAGTTGTTATTGGTATTCGATTGGTTGTTGTCTGGTTTGTTAGAGTTGTGGTCGTCGGCTGTGGTGTTGGAGTGGTGGTTGTTTGGTTTGTTGTAGTGGTGTTAGTTGTTATTGGTATTCGATTGGTTGTTGTCTGGTTTGTTAGAGTTGTGGTGGTCGGCTGTGGTGTTGGAGTGGTGGTTGTTTGGTTTGTTGTAGTGGTGTTAGTTGTTATTGGTATTCGATTGGTTGTTGTCTGGTTTGTTAGAGTTGTGGTCGTCGGCTGTGGTGTTGGAGTGGTGGTTGTTTGGTTTGTTGTAGTGGTGTTAGTTGTTATTGGTATTCGATTGGTTGTTGTCTGGTTTGTTAGAGTTGTGGTCGTCGGCTGTGGTGTTGGAGTGGTGGTTGTTTGGTTTGTTGTAGTGGTGTTAGTTGTTATTGGTATTCGATTGGTTGTTGTCTGGTTTGTTAGAGTTGTGGTCGTCGGTTGTGGTGTTGGAGTGGTGGTTGTTTGGTTTGTTGTAGTGGTGTTAGTTGTTATTGGTATTCGATTGGTTGTTGTCTGGTTTGTTAGAGTTGTGGTCGTCGGCTGTGGTGTTGGAGTGGTGGTTGTTTGGTTTGTTGTAGTGGTGTTAGTTGTTATTGGTATTCGATTGGTTGTTGTCTGGTTTGTTAGAGTTGTGGTCGTCGGCTGTGGTGTTGGAGTGGTGGTTGTTTGGTTTGTTGTAGTGGTGTTAGTTGTTATCGGTATTCGATTGGTTGTTGTCTGGTTTGTTAGAGTTGTGGTCGTCGGCTGTGGTGTTGGAGTGGTGGTTGTTTGGTTTGTTGTAGTGGTGTTAGTTGTTATCGGTATTCGATTGGTTGTTGTCTGGTTTGTTAGAGTTGTGGTCGTCGGCTGTGGTGTTGGAGTGGTGGTTGTTTGGTTTGTTGTAGTGGTGTTAGTTGTTATTGGTATTCGATTGGTTGTTGTCTGGTTTGTTAGAGTTGTGGTGGTCGGCTGTGGTGTTGGAGTGGTGGTTGTTTGGTTTGTTGTAGTGGTGTTAGTTGTTATTGGTATTCGATTGGTTGTTGTCTGGTTTGTTAGAGTTGTGGTCGTCGGCTGTGGTGTTGGAGTGGTGGTTGTTTGGTTTGTTGTAGTGGTGTTAGTTGTTATTGGTATTCGATTGGTTGTTGTCTGGTTTGTTAGAGTTGTGGTCGTCGGCTGTGGTGTTGGAGTGGTGGTTGTTTGGTTTGTTGTAGTGGTGTTAGTTGTAATTGGTATTCGATTGGTTGTTGTCTGGTTTGTTAGAGTTGTGGTCGTCGGCTGTGGTGTTGGAGTGGTGGTTGTTTGGTTTGTTGTAGTGGTGTTAGTTGTTATTGGTATTCGATTGGTTGTTGTCTGGTTTGTTAGAGTTGTGGTCGTCGGCTGTGGTGTTGGAGTGGTGGTTGTTTGGTTTGTTGTAGTGGTGTTAGTTGTTATTGGTATTCGATTGGTTGTTGTCTGGTTTGTTAGAGTTGTGGTCGTCGGCTGTGGTGTTGGAGTGGTGGTTGTTTGGTTTGTTGTAGTGGTGTTAGTTGTTATTGGTATTCGATTGGTTGTTGTCTGGTTTGTTAGAGTTGTGGTCGTCGGCTGTGGTGTTGGAGTGGTGGTTGTTTGGTTTGTTGTAGTGGTGTTAGTTGTTATTGGTATTCGATTGGTTGTTGTCTGGTTTGTTAGAGTTGTGGTCGTCGGCTGTGGTGTTGGAGTGGTGGTTGTTTGGTTTGTTGTAGTGGTGTTAGTTGTTATTGGTATTCGATTGGTTGTTGTCTGGTTTGTTAGAGTTGTGGTCGTCGGCTGTGGTGTTGGAGTGGTGGTTGTTTGGTTTGTTGTAGTGGTGTTAGTTGTTATTGGTATTCGATTGGTTGTTGTCTGGTTTGTTAGAGTTGTGGTCGTCGGCTGTGGTGTTGGAGTGGTGGTTGTTTGGTTTGTTGTAGTGGTGTTAGTTGTTATTGGTATTCGATTGGTTGTTGTCTGGTTTGTTAGAGTTGTGGTCGTCGGCTGTGGTGTTGGAGTGGTGGTTGTTTGGTTTGTTGTAGTGGTGTTAGTTGTTATTGGTATTCGATTGGTTGTTGTCTGGTTTGTTAGAGTTGTGGTCGTCGGCTGTGGTGTTGGAGTGGTGGTTGTTTGGTTTGTTGTAGTGGTGTTAGTTGTTATTGGTATTCGATTGGTTGTTGTCTGGTTTGTTAGAGTTGTGGTCGTCGGCTGTGGTGTTGGAGTGGTGGTTGTTTGGTTTGTTGTAGTGGTGTTAGTTGTTATTGGTATTCGATTGGTTGTTGTCTGGTTTGTTAGAGTTGTGGTCGTCGGCTGTGGTGTTGGAGTGGTGGTTGTTTGGTTTGTTGTAGTGGTGTTAGTTGTTATTGGTATTCGATTGGTTGTTGTCTGGTTTGTTAGAGTTGTGGTCGTCGGCTGTGGTGTTGGAGTGGTGGTTGTTTGGTTTGTTGTAGTGGTGTTAGTTGTTATTGGTATTCGATTGGTTGTTGTCTGGTTTGTTAGAGTTGTGGTCGTCGGCTGTGGTGTTGGAGGGGTGGTTGTTTGGTTTGTTGTAGTGGTGTTAGTTGTTATTGGTATTCGATTGGTTGTTGTCTGGTTTGTTAGAGTTGTGGTCGTCGGCTGTGGTGTTGGAGTGGTGGTTGTTTGGTTTGTTGTAGTGGTGTTAGTTGTTATTGGTATTCGATTGGTCGTTGTCTGGTTTGTTAGAGTTGTGGTCGTCGGCTGTGGTGTTGGAGTGGTGGTTGTTTGGTTTGTTGTAGTGGTGTTAGTTGTTATTGGTATTCGATTGGTTGTTGTCTGGTTTGTTAGAGTTGTGGTCGTCGGCTGTGGTGTTGGAGTGGTGGTTGTTTGGGTTGTTGTAGTGGTGTTAGTTGTTATTGGTATTCGATTGGTTGTTGTCTGGTTTGTTAGAGTTGTGGTCGTCGGCTGTGGTGTTGGAGTGGTGGTTGTTTGGTTTGTTGTAGTGGTGTTAGTTGTTATTGGTATTCGATTGGTTGTTGTCTGGTTTGTTAGAGTTGTGGTCGTCGGCTGTGGTGTTGGAGTGGTGGTTGTTTGGTTTGTTGTAGTGGTGTTAGTTGTTATTGGTATTCGATTGGTTGTTGTCTGGTTTGTTAGAGTTGTGGTCGTCGGCTGTGGTGTTGGAGTGGTGGTTGTTTGGTTTGTTGTAGTGGTGTTAGTTGTTAGTGGTATTCGATTGGTTGTTGTCTGGTTTGTTAGAGTTGTGGTCGTCGGCTGTGGTGTTGGAGTGGTGGTTGTTTGGTTTGTTGTAGTGGTGTTAGTTGTTATTGGTATTCGATTGGTTGTTGTCTGGTTTGTTAGAGTTGTGGTCGTCGGCTGTGGTGTTGGAGTGGTGGTTGTTTGGTTTGTTGTAGTGGTGTTAGTTGTTATTGGTATTCGATTGGTTGTTGTCTGGTTTGTTAGAGTTGTGGTCGTCGGCTGTGGTGTTGGAGTGGTGGTTGTTTGGTTTGTTGTAGTGGTGTTAGTTGTTATTGGTATTCGATTGGTTGTTGTCTGGTTTGTTAGAGTTGTGGTCGTCGGCTGTGGTGTTGGAGTGGTGGTTGTTTGGTTTGTTGTAGTGGTGTTAGTTGTTATTGGTATTCGATTGGTTGTTGTCTGGTTTGTTAGAGTTGTGGTCGTCGGCTGTGGTGTTGGAGTGGTGGTTGTTTGGTTTGTTGTAGTGGTGTTAGTTGTTATCGGTATTCGATTGGTTGTTGTCTGGTTTGTTAGAGTTGTGGTCGTCGGCTGTGGTGTTGGAGTGGTGGTTGTTTGGTTTGTTGTAGTGGTGTTAGTTGTTATCGGTATTCGATTGGTTGTTGTCTGGTTTGTTAGAGTTGTGGTCGTCGGCTGTGGTGTTGGAGTGGTGGTTGTTTGGGTTGTTGTAGTGGTGTTAGTTGTTATTGGTATTCGATTGGTTGTTGTCTGGTTTGTTAGAGTTGTGGTCGTCGGCTGTGGTGTTGGAGTGGTGGTTGTTTGGTTTGTTGTAGTGGTGTTAGTTGTTATTGGTATTCGATTGGTTGTTGTCTGGTTTGTTAGAGTTGTGGTCGTCGGCTGTGGTGTTGGAGTGGTGGTTGTTTGGTTTGTTGTAGTGGTGTTAGTTGTTATTGGTATTCGATTGGTTGTTGTCTGGTTTGTTAGAGTTGTGGTCGTCGGCTGTGGTGTTGGAGTGGTGGTTGTTTGGTTTGTTGTAGTGGTGTTAGTTGTTATTGGTATTCGATTGGTTGTTGTCTGGTTTGTTAGAGTTGTGGTCGTCGGCTGTGGTGTTGGAGTGGTGGTTGTTTGGTTTGTTGTAGTGGTGTTAGTTGTTATTGGTATTCGATTGGTTGTTGTCTGGTTTGTTAGAGTTGTGGTCGTCGGCTGTGGTGTTGGAGTGGTGGTTGTTTGGTTTGTTGTAGTGGTGTTAGTTGTTATTGGTATTCGATTGGTTGTTGTCTGGTTTGTTAGAGTTGTGGTCGTCGGCTGTGGTGTTGGAGTGGTGGTTGTTTGGTTTGTTGTAGTGGTGTTAGTTGTTATTGGTATTCGATTGGTTGTTGTCTGGTTTGTTAGAGTTGTGGTCGTCGGCTGTGGTGTTGGAGTGGTGGTTGTTTGGTTTGTTGTAGTGGTGTTAGTTGTTATTGGTATTCGATTGGTTGTTGTCTGGTTTGTTAGAGTTGTGGTCGTCGGCTGTGGTGTTGGAGTGGTGGTTGTTTGGTTTGTTGTAGTGGTGTTAGTTGTTATTGGTATTCGATTGGTTGTTGTCTGGTTTGTTAGAGTTGTGGTCGTCGGCTGTGGTGTTGGAGTGGTGGTTGTTTGGTTTGTTGTAGTGGTGTTAGTTGTTATTGGTATTCGATTGGTTGTTGTCTGGTTTGTTAGAGTTGTGGTCGTCGGCTGTGGTGTTGGAGTGGTGGTTGTTTGGTTTGTTGTAGTGGTGTTAGTTGTTATTGGTATTCGATTGGTTGTTGTCTGGTTTGTTAGAGTTGTGGTCGTCGGCTGTGGTGTTGGAGTGGTGGTTGTTTGGTTTGTTGTAGTGGTGTTAGTTGTTATTGGTATTCGATTGGTTGTTGTCTGGTTTGTTAGAGTTGTGGTCGTCGGCTGTGGTGTTGGAGTGGTGGTTGTTTGGTTTGTTGTAGTGGTGTTAGTTGTTATTGGTATTCGATTGGTTGTTGTCTGGTTTGTTAGAGTTGTGGTCGTCGGCTGTGGTGTTGGAGTGGTGGTTGTTTGGTTTGTTGTAGTGGTGTTAGTTGTTATTGGTATTCGATTGGTTGTTGTCTGGTTTGTTAGAGTTGTGGTCGTCGGCTGTGGTGTTGGAGTGGTGGTTGTTTGGTTTGTTGTAGTGGTGTTAGTTGTTATTGGTATTCGATTGGTTGTTGTCTGGTTTGTTAGAGTTGTGGTCGTCGGCTGTGGTGTTGGAGTGGTGGTTGTTTGGTTTGTTGTAGTGGTGTTAGTTGTTATTGGTATTCGATTGGTTGTTGTCTGGTTTGTTAGAGTTGTGGTCGTCGGCTGTGGTGTTGGAGTGGTGGTTGTTTGGTTTGTTGTAGTGGTGTTAGTTGTTATTGGTATTCGATTGGTTGTTGTCTGGTTTGTTAGAGTTGTGGTCGTCGGCTGTGGTGTTGGAGTGGTGGTTGTTTGGTTTGTTGTAGTGGTGTTAGTTGTTATTGGTATTCGATTGGTTGTTGTCTGGTTTGTTAGAGTTGTGGTCGTCGGCTGTGGTGTTGGAGTGGTGGTTGTTTGGTTTGTTGTAGTGGTGTTAGTTGTTATTGGTATTCGATTGGTTGTTGTCTGGTTTGTTAGAGTTGTGGTCGTCGGCTGTGGTGTTGGAGTGGTGGTTGTTTGGTTTGTTGTAGTGGTGTTAGTTGTTATCGGTATTCGATTGGTTGTTGTCTGGTTTGTTAGAGTTGTGGTCGTCGGCTGTGGTGTTGGAGTGGTGGTTGTTTGGTTTGTTGTAGTGGTGTTAGTTGTTATTGGTATTCGATTGGTTGTTGTCTGGTTTGTTAGAGTTGTGGTCGTCGGCTGTGGTGTTGGAGTGGTGGTTGTTTGGTTTGTTGTAGTGGTGTTAGTTGTTATCGGTATTCGATTGGTTGTTGTCTGGTTTGTTAGAGTTGTGGTCGTCGGCTGTGGTGTTGGAGTGGTGGTTGTTTGGTTTGTTGTAGTGGTGTTAGTTGTTATTGGTATTCGATTGGTTGTTGTCTGGTTTGTTAGAGTTGTGGTCGTCGGCTGTGGTGTTGGAGTGGTGGTTGTTTGGTTTGTTGTAGTGGTGTTAGTTGTTATTGGTATTCGATTGGTTGTTGTCTGGTTTGTTAGAGTTGTGGTCGTCGGCTGTGGTGTTGGAGTGGTGGTTGTTTGGTTTGTTGTAGTGGTGTTAGTTGTTATTGGTATTCGATTGGTTGTTGTCTGGTTTGTTAGAGTTGTGGTCGTCGGCTGTGGTGTTGGAGTGGTGGTTGTTTGGTTTGTTGTAGTGGTGTTAGTTGTTATTGGTATTCGATTGGTTGTTGTCTGGTTTGTTAGAGTTGTGGTCGTCGGCTGTGGTGTTGGAGTGGTGGTTGTTTGGTTTGTTGTAGTGGTGTTAGTTGTTATTGGTATTCGATTGGTTGTTGTCTGGTTTGTTAGAGTTGTGGTCGTCGGCTGTGGTGTTGGAGTGGTGGTTGTTTGGTTTGTTGTAGTGGTGTTAGTTGTTATTGGTATTCGATTGGTTGTTGTCTGGTTTGTTAGAGTTGTGGTCGTCGGCTGTGGTGTTGGAGTGGTGGTTGTTTGGTTTGTTGTAGTGGTGTTAGTTGTTATTGGTATTCGATTGGTTGTTGTCTGGTTTGTTAGAGTTGTGGTGGTCGGCTGTGGTGTTGGAGTGGTGGTTGTTTGGTTTGTTGTAGTGGTGTTAGTTGTTATTGGTATTCGATTGGTTGTTGTCTGGTTTGTTAGAGTTGTGGTGGTCGGCTGTGGTGTTGGAGTGGTGGTTGTTTGGTTTGTTGTAGTGGTGTTAGTTGTTATTGGTATTCGATTGGTTGTTGTCTGGTTTGTTAGAGTTGTGGTGGTCGGCTGTGGTGTTGGAGTGGTGGTTGTTTGGTTTGTTGTAGTGGTGTTAGTTGTTATTGGTATTCGATTGGTTGTTGTCTGGTTTGTTAGAGTTGTGGTCGTCGGCTGTGGTGTTGGAGTGGTGGTTGTTTGGTTTGTTGTAGTGGTGTTAGTTGTTATTGGTATTCGATTGGTTGTTGTCTGGTTTGTTAGAGTTGTGGTCGTCGGCTGTGGTGTTGGAGGGGTGGTTGTTTGGTTTGTTGTAGTGGTGTTAGTTGTTATTGGTATTCGATTGGTTGTTGTCTGGTTTGTTAGAGTTGTGGTCGTCGGCTGTGGTGTTGGAGTGGTGGTTGTTTGGTTTGTTGTAGTGGTGTTAGTTGTTATTGGTATTCGATTGGTTGTTGTCTGGTTTGTTAGAGTTGTGGTCGTCGGCTGTGGTGTTGGAGTGGTGTTAGTTGTTATTGGTATTCGATTGGTTGTTGTCTGGTTTGTTAGAGTTGTGGTCGTCGGCTGTGGTGTTGGAGTGGTGGTTGTTTGGTTTGTTGTAGTGGTGTTAGTTGTTATTGGTATTCGATTGGTTGTTGTCTGGTTTGTTAGAGTTGTGGTCGTCGGCTGTGGTGTTGGAGTGGTGGTTGTTTGGTTTGTTGTAGTGGTGTTAGTTGTTATCGGTATTCGATTGGTTGTTGTCTGGTTTGTTAGAGTTGTGGTCGTCGGCTGTGGTGTTGGAGTGGTGGTTGTTTGGTTTGTTGTAGTGGTGTTAGTTGTTATCGGTATTCGATTGGTTGTTGTCTGGTTTGTTAGAGTTGTGGTCGTCGGCTGTGGTGTTGGAGTGGTGGTTGTTTGGTTTGTTGTAGTGGTGTTAGTTGTTATTGGTATTCGATTGGTTGTTGTCTGGTTTGTTAGAGTTGTGGTCGTCGGCTGTGGTGTTGGAGTGGTGGTTGTTTGGTTTGTTGTAGTGGTGTTAGTTGTAATTGGTATTCGATTGGTTGTTGTCTGGTTTGTTAGAGTTGTGGTCGTCGGCTGTGGTGTTGGAGTGGTGGTTGTTTGGTTTGTTGTAGTGGTGTTAGTTGTTATCGGTATTCGATTGGTTGTTGTCTGGTTTGTTAGAGTTGTGGTCGTCGGCTGTGGTGTTGGAGTGGTGGTTGTTTGGTTTGTTGTAGTGGTGTTAGTTGTTATTGGTATTCGATTGGTTGTTGTCTGGTTTGTTAGAGTTGTGGTCGTCGGCTGTGGTGATGGAGTGGTGGTTGTTTGGTTTGTTGTAGTGGTGTTAGTTGTTATTGGTATTCGATTGGTTGTTGTCTGGTTTGTTAGAGTTGTGGTCGTCGGCTGTGGTGTTGGAGTGGTGGTTGTTTGGTTTGTTGTAGTGGTGTTAGTTGTTAGTGGTATTCGATTGGTTGTTGTCTGGTTTGTTTGAGTTGTGGTCGTCGGCTGTGGTGTTGGAGTGGTGGTTGTTTGGTTTGTTGTAGTGGTGTTAGTTGTTATTGGTATTCGATTGGTTGTTGTCTGGTTTGTTAGAGTTGTGGTCGTCGGCTGTGGTGTTGGAGTGGTGGTTGTTTGGTTTGTTGTAGTGGTGTTAGTTGTTATTGGTATTCGATTGGTTGTTGTCTGGTTTGTTAGAGTTGTGGTCGTCGGCTGTGGTGTTGGAGTGGTGGTTGTTTGGTTTGTTGTAGTGGTGTTAGTTGTTATTGGTATTCGATTGGTTGTTGTCTGGTTTGTTAGAGTTGCGGTCGTCGGCTGTGGTGTTGGAGTGGTGGTTGTTTGGTTTGTTGTAGTGGTGTTAGTTGTTATTGGTATTCGATTGGTTGTTGTCTGGTTTGTTAGAGTTGTGGTCGTCGGCTGTGGTGATGGAGTGGTGGTTGTTTGGTTTGTTGTAGTGGTGTTAGTTGTTATTGGTATTCGATTGGTTGTTGTCTGGTTTGTTAGAGTTGTGGTCGTCGGCTGTGGTGTTGGAGTGGTGGTTGTTTGGTTTGTTGTAGTGGTGTTAGTTGTTATTGGTATTCGATTGGTTGTTGTCTGGTTTGTTAGAGTTGTGGTCGTCGGCTGTGGTGTTGGAGTGGTGGTTGTTTGGTTTGTTGTAGTGGTGTTAGTTGTTATTGGTATTCGATTGGTTGTTGTCTGGTTTGTTTGAGTTGTGGTCGTCGGCTGTGGTGTTGGAGTGGTGGTTGTTTGGTTTGTTGTAGTGGTGTTAGTTGTTAGTGGTATTCGATTGGTTGTTGTCTGGTTTGTTTGAGTTGTGGTCGTCGGCTGTGGTGTTGGAGTGGATTTTTGTTGTTTAATTGCCTTTGTGGTATTTATCATTGTAACTCTAATTGTATTTGATTTTTTGTTTTGTGTCGTATTTGTTTTACTGTTTTTTACTGTTGTTATGTTTTTTTCTGATTTTGGCTTTTGTTTTTTCGATTGCGTGCGATTTTGTTTTGATTTTGTTCCATTGAATATGAGGTTTTGCTGTATGAGATAGTTGGTATTGCTCATGTTTGTTGTTTCTCCGTTTTTCTGCTGTTGTTTGCGCTTGTATTGTTTTATGGTTTTACTTGTTTTATTTGTTATTTGAGTTTGGTTTTGTGTTGGACTCCTCTCTTCATACTGTCTTCTTTGTTTTCTTTTTCTTTCTATTGTTATATTTTTCATCCATATTTTGGTTTCATTTTGGAAATTTGGTTTTCCTCGGGTTGTGTAATTTCTTTTTGTTTTGTTCTGTGGATTTGAGCTTTCATTCTCGTCGTTTTCGTATTCTACTCGGTAGTATTTTCTTCTTATTCTTCTTAATTTTCTGCGCATGATTTCACTTTCTTCTTTTGTAGGACTCTGTGTTATGCATGGTATTTCTACATCTTCCCACGTTTGATATGGCTGCATTGAAATATAATTCCCCCTGGAATATAGATGAAAATAGTTGTTTTTTCGTGTAATGTTTCTGTGTTTTTGTTAAATTATTTTAACTCTAGTTCTACGTTTTTAAGATTTGCTGTCCAGCGATTTCATTGATTAAGAAATAAATTCACTTAGTCAATATTGGATAGTTGGAGCTGTTCAGTGATACACACACATAGGATACAATCAAATGCCTATCTAAGGTGCTGCATTCTACAAGTTCATGTCTATGATTATTCAGCCACTGGGAGAGAGAGTAGTTCCTTAAACTGTGTAGTCAGTTAGTGATCAATCAGGAGTTTGACTATAAAACCACTAAAAATTATTTGAATTTTTAGAAAATGAAGAAAAAAACAAGACTTCTCTTAACGTCTTACTTTGTAAGTCACAGCTTTTTAAGCAGACTTACTCTGAAAACACGCAGAGATTATTCCGTTTTGTTTTATTCTGATTCAGTGTGACTTTGTGAACAAATTATCGGAAACCTGTTATTACAGCTCAACAACTAGTCGTTTGAACAAGTAGAGAACAGTATGTCCAAGAAGTTGTGGATAGTCTCTTCTTCCATCTAACTAAATATCATTGGTAGATTCACCTAGATATTCCTACGCTCATAATGAATGTGCTATTATTATAAAGGTTGAATTGGGATTCTTTAGAATTATCTGCTTGATATTCACTTCCAATTCACCTCATCTATGTGGTGTTTTGAGGACTCAGTTTCAAAAAGATATATATGAATTATCCTCAGTTAGCCCTTTCATTTAGATTTAGGTCATATTGTTAAACTGTTCATTACACAAGACCCTTCCAGGGATGCAACACCTGTCAAGAACTGTCTGGTTTTCAGGAGTTCTCTAGGTGAGTTCTAAATAATATTTTGTATTTTCGTTTTATATCCTAAGTATTTTTTTAAACTTTTGGACTGCAAGTTTTTGGCTGATTTCAAATTTTATCACCATCTGACACCAGTTTTAGAAACCACTGAGAATCATGGAGTGTTGCATAGATGTTTCACTCTAGTTTGGAGCCCTCCACCAGTAAGTAGGTGCGTCAGTGGCACAGCAGTAGAATGCTTGCCAACCATTAATGTGGTTCGGGGTTCGACCATTGGTCGACGCACTCCTTCACCTTGCCAATCCAGAAATAAAATAGGTGAAAAGGGAAGGTTGACCATGAGGCTAGCAACCCCGTCCCGTAAAATAAATACCACCGCTGCTGAAACTTCAGAGCGCTAGCTTGAAGGCCTGTGTACCACTGGGAACCTACTGGAAAAAACCCAGTAAGTAGCCGAAAAATTCAGGTCACAAGACAGCAGTGTTTATCATTAATTCCAATCAACACTCAGAAATCAATTCACTTCTCACTAGCGACTGACTGAGATTTGAATTTGTGACCAATGAGATCTACCAAATTAGGTATTTGAAGAGTTATTTACTCTCTGAAGACACTCGTTGGTTGTGGCGCTAGCTACTACGATTTGGTAGAAGTTAGAATTCATGAGACATTTGATTCTATACTAATGGCTGAAAAATCAACAAACTCGCCTCATAACCTGCAGGTCCTTGATTTGAAATTATCGTATGACTTCAGTAATACTGGTGAAACAAAGATGTTTAAACAATTGTCTGGCTGATTGATGATTTACGTAGATCTGATTTCACCGATAAGTGGAGACAGCTACTGATAACTGAAACATCCGATGTACAGATTCTTTTCTATTTCATGTATACTAATGTATGCAAACGAAGAATCAACAGTCTTCAGTTAAATTGCTACTACATTGAAGCATTTACTTAGCTGAGACAATAATTCTCACAGATTATAGGTAATGTTGACAGGTGAATAAAAAATAAAAGTGGTCATTTATTCACTCTATATTAGAAATGAATAATTTAGATATTGGACGTTGTTCTGAGTCCTTGATTGTTCGTGCTCACTCGGGAAAAACCTACACTATGGCTTAATAGAGGTGTAGTGAAAACCATCAACAGTTCGGTATTAGATCACTTGGTCTAAACTGACCACAAAGACAGCATTGAAGAATCATTTTCTATCATCTGTCAGGTACCATAAAAATTTCCAAAAGCATCCAGATACCGAATTCTCCAAACAGCAGAGACAATTCGCCTAAACCAATCGTTGCTCTCAGTACTGGCCTGACCTAATGTGGGGTCTATGAATTCATAAATACCTTATTATATTGGCGTTTTTTGACATGGCCCGGCATACTGAGCATATAAATTCCCCCAGCCGTCATTATAAGACTTGCATTAACTAACCTTTTGTTTTCCTACCTAAGCGTAGTTGTTAACTTACACAATGATACACATACAACGCACATACAACGTTCTATAGCAAATTTGTTCTCTCTCGTCGTCCTTGACATAATCATTTATAAACCTGAAGTTTAATTTACTATGAACGTGACTCATCAGAGTTCATTACTACATATTGGTTGTCATTCATAGTCATTTACTTTGATATATTGATGTTCAGTTTATTGTTACAATTATGTGTAGAACCTGATGATGAAGATATTGAAAAGAACATTCTTTGTTCAGTGATCAATATTTAATCTAGATTCGTTCGAAAATATTCTATTGAGAAGAATAAGAAGTTCAGCAAAGATGGTGATCTTTTCGGCGATTTCATTTTCAAAAGCTGTACAATCGCATTTAAATACATAATTTTACATGGAGACAATTCTGGTTTGATTCTACATAATTATGACGGCGAATAAAAGGTGATAATTATTTCCAACTAGATATGGTTTTTTACGAGAGGCTTAGAAACAAAATTACATGGGATTTAGCAAATTACAGGTGTGCAGAAAGTGAGCATGGAAACAAAAATTGATATAATAGTTTTAACTTAAAATGGAAGTTAGGAGGTGTGAATATAGATTACAAGAGCCTTAGAAACACAAAAAATTGCACAGGATAAAGATATAATTGTAAATTTTTAAAACGGATTATAAATGTGAACAGGAAAAGCACGGAAACAAACTTAAAATAACTGTTTTTATAACTGGAAAAAAAATGGGGTGAATCGAATGAAAACTGAGGGAGTAAGAATCACACACATAGCGAACGAAAAGGGATGAAAAAAAAAACGGAAGCTACGGTAACATACCGAACTAAGTCCATGGTAGTTGTAGAGGTTGGACTAATTTCTTTTGAACACACAGCTCTGGCTTCTCGATGCATATTGCGAGGGCTTCTGCAGTACAGAGAAGTCGGAAACAAACTGCTTTCGGTAGGTTTCTGTTGACTTTGTAAATTACTTTGAATGAATCAGTTGAGATGTTGTGGGAGGTATTGATCAGATGCTCAATAATGGCACTTCTGATTGAACCGGTGCCTCCTCTTTGCAGCCATGCTGGGTAATGTTCTCTAACACGTTTTGAAAGGACGCGCATACAACGACCTATGTACCTTGCTCCGCACGAGCAGGTGAACTGGTAAATGCACACTGAATTGGTCATATGCGACAGTTTGTCCTTCCCATTGCTCCGAAGAAGTGGGCGGCTAGAGAATGTCACTCTTAGAGTTGCTGCCGGAAAAGTCTTCTTCAGGGATTTGGAGATTCTCCTTTTAAGGATATCTGCTGCTAGGTCTCCCCTGAATTCCAGATTCAGATAGAGTGTCTTCTTTTGCACTGAAGTGTATTCTTCTCTTTTTGGCCTTGGTTTCATGTTCTTCTCCACGAAACGCGGTGGGTATCCGTTTTGAACCAGAATGCTTTTTAGGAATAGAAGCTCTTCTTCTAAACAGTCATCACTACAGATTCTTCTTGTAATCTATATTCCTCTTGTAATCTATATTCACACCTCCTAACTCCCATCTCAAGTTGAAAATCATCATTTCATTTTTGTATCCATGCTCATTTTTACACACTTGATATCCGTTGTAATCCTGCGTAATTTTGTTTCTAAGCCTCTCGTAAAAAACCATATCTAGTTGGAAATAATTATCACCTTTTATTCGCCGTCATAATTATGTAGAATCAAACCAGAATTGTCTCCATGTAAAATTATGTATTTAAATGCGATTGTACAGCTTTTGAAAATGAAATCGCCGAAAAGATCACCATCTTTGCTGAACTTCTTATTCTTCTCAATCTAATGTTCCAATGGGTATTTTCCACGATTTGAAAATATTCTAAACATACTGACATATTTTTTATATTATATGCACACAGGGATTGTCGAATGTGTAAACAGATTTTTCAGAATGAATATATAGGGCTTCTAATAACCACTGAGTGAATGTAATTAATGGAATTTGTTTGAACAAATACGAGTCATCTGCATTAAGTTAGTAAATAAGCTCATTAGCATCCCTAACTTTCTATATTCAACTTCTTATCTCTTAAATAATGTAATATTTCACAGTGGGAATCAATACCAGTCAATTTTGTGAAAACTTACCCAGGTCCGTAATTGCACACAATGCTTAGTTCATAAAGGGAATTCGAACATTTAGTGACACTACATCCAAGATCAGTAGTCATTTCCCAGACAATCTGGAAGAGATAGTGAAAAGAGATGGGTATTACTGATATATACACCAGGAGACTTACACAAAAAGAATCTAAACACCCTAGCACTTTGGAAAATTGGAGGCTGATCTGTTAGGTGGTGGTTATCTGAAAAACAGCAGTTTTCTCCTCAGTTTCTCATCATGTGTGGATAAAAAGACCGACCTATGATAGGCAGATATGATAGTGTGTAATGAAAACAAGCATTCTCCTGTTACCGATCATATGAACGTTTGAGCAAAACCCTTTTCCACTCACTTGGTTATGAATTTCTTCACAGTTCCTGCTGCCTTTCTCCAGTGGCTTAAACTGATATAGTCTCATGATTTGAGTCACTCTACAAACATCATTGACTATCACAGTCTGAAACGGGTGAAACGGTCATTGCTTAGATCACTACGATTTGATTAGCAAGCGAAAGAGGGTGAAATGTCTGGTTTCTGTCCACTTGTGATTGATGGTACATGTGAATGAGAATGTCATAAAGAGATCACAGTAACTACCAACAGTGTAGAGATGTGTCGAAATTAATTAGCACTGTGATCAATTCACTCCTAAGAAACCGACATTTTCACAACAAAAAAGACTAATGGTCGTGTAAGGAACGTGGAGACGATTCAAAACTTTGCATATATTCTAATGTGCTTTCCTCAGTGAATAAGCTCTTATTACTACACTACTTTTTAACTGAATTAATGAAATGTAATCAAATTCTTAGCCACTTGCACTCCACGTATCTGAACCAGATCTTCTGACAGAAATCTTCATCCAAAATAGATACTCTCCTAGACTCACTGACAATAATTTCAAGCCAAACGCTCAGAGAAAAGAAACATTACTTGCTCCGAAAGACAAACGTCACATGAACGTGGATTTCAGGCGAGAATTAACCTGCGATATCCTCAAGAGAAGAATTTAAGCATCCTTGAGAAGAACACTCCTCCGTGCATCGCCTACAGGAGTGCACTCCAGTCAACTGCTGGTCTGAGGAAGCTCGAAGAATAAAGTTCAGCATTTAACCTTGTCTGTGTGCATTTGTCAGTTCACCCGTTGGTGCAGAGCCAGGTATATTGGTCGTTCTGCCTAAAATGGTTCAGGAGCAATATCCCGAATGGTTGCGGAAATTCAGTATTCGTTCTATAAGTGGTGTGGCAATCGAACACCTTGTCAAAACTGGTCATTCCATCTCATCAAATGCCTGTTTCAGAATGAAGAGCAACCCACCAAAGTTAATGTACTCTCGCTTCCATCAGATTGCTGAGGCTTTAGCCACCCAAACAGAGAAGCCAGATCCATGCATACAAAAAAGAGCTATTCAACCATTTTGATTTCTACTGACTGAACGGATGAAAAATCTTTTCATCTAAATGACTACTCCCATGGACAGTTTAAGGGGCGTTAAGTGTATGACACTGATTGAGGTCAAACAATAACACAACAATTGTGGGAACAGCCGAGCGATAATGTAAGACAAAGGCGTATAACCCCTTGAGAATTCATAATTCACGATATGAAACCATAAATAGGGACAGATATCCACCACATATTGTGAATTACATCAACTAAACTCATTCATATATATTTCACTTATTCAGCGTGTACTGTAAGTGAAGATGTTCTCAAGCAACAATGCTTTCTACATTTAGAGTGTTCCACTGAGTTGAAATAATCAGTGCAATATGTGGGACAACATTAAGTTCTCCGTCCTGTACTGTAGTGAATCTCACATGTTCACTCATATTTCTTCTGATTCATGCTAATCATTCATCAGACAGGACAATATTTGTGACAAGCTGTATGGTCTGATATCATGCACACTGCACTGGTTTGCGGTGATGATACAATTTTAGGTGAATACTCTGACCACCAACATTCCAACCAGCTTGATAAGATAATTAATAAAGTGGTACTGGAATTGTGACTCTTACCTGTGTATACGAATCGCATTCACCTTCAGCACAATAACTTCTGAAGTAATCATAATGTTTATGTCCATCCAACCACTTCTTGAATCCACTAATTCACAAATGAATGAAAAATAAATTCAGTTAAAAATGAGAACCTTGTCAAATTTCACCTAACGGTGTTCAAAACGAATCACTTCCACATAACAGGAAATCCCCATAGGTTTGCATTGAAATGGCTGTTTCAAAATGACTCATGACAAGTATTCGCTTCAGTCGGAAATTCATGAGAAATAAATGAATGTTAGTAAGTGAAGACATGTGTTATAATTCATGCGAGTGTATTTAGGCAGCTGGAGTATTCACATAACTGAAATGTTAATGGACTGTAAATGGGAAGAATATGATACACCGTTCTGGAGGTATCAGTTGGATTGAGTTGTTTGTTTTAATGTCAGTTTATTTCGGGCGAAGTTACTCGTGCTGAACGCACTATTTATTGCTCTTACCTATTCCTTTTCGACTGACAAACACTCAGAAACTTATAAATTGTGGGATAATAGACAGTGAATTGTTTGGAAATATTATCGAAATTCAGACTTAACTTTGTGTACGTTTCCACTCATTACCAATATATTCATGCACCTCACAATACCTAAAATGTTCGAAGGTATTCATAGTTTACTCAGCTTGTAGTTGTTTGTTTTATCGGTTACTAAAACTGTGTTGAACGTTGTGATGTGGTTGTGTTCTCTGAGCTAGATTGTTAATTCGCGAAGCTTTCATTACCCTACTAGGAAACATCTTCAGCGCATACTTCAATTCGATGAAGTGAGCTTTTAGATTTCTCCACGATTTATTAGTCATCTCTCCTGGTGGGTGACCTTGAACGTGATTGGTTGTTTTCGTGTGTTTTCGCACCCTCTAGGCTACTTGCATTGTAACTGATTGTTTCCTTGACTTGAACTTTGACCCTTTGTGTATGAGATTTACTTCTTATCGGATGTGTCTATTGACTGATGATTCACTGGAATACCAGGCTTCTAAAAATTCTCTAGCATTCTTGATGTTTCCTCTGTCTAATATATGAACGTTTTCCCAGTCGAAATGATGTCCGTGGTTCTCTGTATGTAGTGATTTGAGGGAGTGGATGTCGTGTCTTTTGACAGCTAGCTTATGCTCATGTTGAACTGTGCTAAACTGAAACAGTAGTCACTATGCCACTTATGCGAAAGTGAATAAGCACTAATCCTTGGTGAGTTTTTCAAAATACCGCAATCTGCTTCAACGCTACAGAGTACCCGAAACCTTCATCAACCTGATTCAAAAACAGTATGATGATTTCACACGTCAAGTGATTCACGATGGAAGATACAGCAAAGTCTGTGAAGTGAAAATGGGAGTAAAAGAAGACTGTCTACTATCATCGATTTTGGTTAACTGGAGCATGGGGAAGACCTTATGGATGTAGAAGGTGGCTTTCAACGAGAACAATGATATTCACTCGCAGAAAATATTAGTGGTCAACGTGGTCAATACATTATTGCTGATGATGTCTTACCACTGGAAATAAAGATGAGTACTGAAATCGGAATAATTGACCATGACTTAGAACCCCATACTGTTGACCACCTCCCAAACCATTCCGAAATCTATGATTACTACAGCATTCCCGGATCATGATGAGTAGGCAGTCCCCTCGTCTTCTAACAGATACTTCATCTGACATAACGATAATATAAATTAATTTATAGTAGCAATTGCGATGATTTTCCATCAGAGTATACCGACTGAATTGCAACCGGCGCATACAGTGCAAAACGTTGACCCACGTGCTTTTCCATGAGACCCAGTTCACACATACATACTATCTCAGTAATCGGAACTTCGATTTGTGCGACTTGAACTGACTGAACAATTTACGGTTCATCAGGAGTTATCAATATTACTTGAAGAATTTAGGATGCCTTTTCCAACTGGGACTGAGGTGTTGTAACACTATGCGATTGATTCCACTGTTGAAATATGTCAGCTTTTGCCCAGAAAGCTCTATACCGTACATCACAAAACATACTGTGGAATCCAAGTTGACATGACTGGTAGGGTAAGGAGTTATAACGCGAATAGCCCATTCATTGTGGACAGCTGGTGACACTGTTGTTCAAAGAGTCAGTCGGGTGTATTCACATTTGTGTAGATATATAGACTGGTCTGAATGAGACTGTATGACGTAGCCAATATACACTGTCGGTTTCAGACGACTTGTTTAGCCTTCAATTGGCAAAGCAGTATTTAGGGAGATTTTATTCTCCTCATTCGTACTTATACGTTAAAGTTTCTGGTGAGTACTGAGGTTTTAATGGTGGTAAACACACATCGGGTGTTATTTCAACACAACAGGTTATCCCTGGACAGTGAGACTGTCCCCACCACATTCCAGCAACTAATGCATGCCAGCCAACATCTGATACTTTTTATGATACTATACTCGTAGTCATGGTTTTCATATGCCATCACTGTATACTGTCAACCTTGGTCCTATCCATAGAAAGGTTTTGTTTCATATAAAGAGAGGTTGACTGTAGAAGCTCTACATGTATGGGTAAATCCCGGAAATTTGAACTACTGTGATGGTGTGGTCTTAGCTGATGCATAACAAGTCCTGGTTAATAAATTAAGTGAATATGTGTCACTAACTCCTCATACTTTTCCCGAAAGAAACGATTGAATATTCGTTGAGATTTTACAAATATAATTTTTATATATGTCTACTTTCCACATGCTGCCCTAATATTACGGAACTATTTCATCAAATATTGATCACAGTTCATTCAAATTACAAATTGTTGCAAAAAGATATTGGCTATTACAACAAACTTTTAAGTTTGTTACCGTCACTGAGTGCTTCGTTTACTAACCTTGACTTGGCGCTGGCTCTATGCCACCTCGACACCTTTCACACTGTATATGAGTGCCTAATGTTTAAAGAATAAGTGGTTATACCAAATAATCTTAGGATCACCCTACTCTCTGACCAGTTCCACAGTGATCAGCTGCGTAGTTTACGAGGAATGGCTATCGTCAGACGTTTACCTGAGTGGTGATGTCCAGATGATGATATAGCTGAATTTTTTAGTCAGTACCATCCACGTCAACTGAATAACAAAATCCCGAGCGTAGAAAAGAATGGCTTCCATCCAGACCATGGTCAAGACTTGTCATTGATTTCGTATAATTAGAAAAAGGTTTTCGTTTTTATTCATTTCCGCTTTAAGTTTGTTGAAAATGGCCTGAGTTAGTGCCTAACACTTTGCCATTCAGCAGTTGTACTTTAGCCTCGCTTGACATAACATACCAGAATATGTCATACCTGACAACGGGACCCAGTTCGCTTTGCAGAATTATGACACCAAAGTGTTATGAAGACTAAACGATTGTCATCCAAGCACAACTATCACAATCAGTTCAACAGAAGCTTCTCTAAAGTTATTCGAGAAAAGGTGGTAAGAATTACCTTTGTAGCCACTAGTCAGGTAGAAAAATGTGGGCGTAGGGGGAAACTAAGGATTTGCATAGGATTGTGCTTTATCAAGATATAGTGCAATGTGAAAAATGGGTCTGACATTGGATACCATAGATCTACTCTTCGAAATGTTTAAACTACCTCTGAACCCATCATTTTGAATCTGAAAGTAAATCAGACGCTAATTTCTCAAATAAATTCCTATCTCAGACCTCTACCACAGAGATTTATGAAGCATTTTATTGTTACTGAACTGGTTCATCTTTTTCAGACAGTAATTATTATCACAGATACAGTCTACCTCGGTAGTCTATCAGGTGAAATTCAAATAGTGTTAATATCGACTATCAATAGGATTTTACTATATTTAAAGATACCCACTACTCTGTTTATGCCGCTTTACGGTTCGTTTCAATGAGAATAATGAGAATATTATTGTATCTAACTCTCACCACCCTGTTGAATATTCAATCCAATATCATCATGTGAGTATTCTCAATTACTAGTTGGATACAGAGTTATCTACTAGGAAATTGCTTAACATTCATTTTGTCAAACGGTATTCAAGTGAATATTCAATGATCTTTTCAGAAGGAAGTACAGCTAAAGCCATTCACAATGCTAAAATAACTTACCTTTCTACTGTCGCCGCACCTGCCCAATTTTGTCCAACATAGGCAAACGATGGAACTTTTCTTTCCTTAGCTGAATCATGTCCGACACGGCATTGATCTGACAATATTCGGGCTTTCTTCTCCAATTCTAAATTATATTTCTGAAAAAAATCAACCAATAAAATATATTGAATGTATTGGGATAGAAATATTAGGTAAGCAGATATTCTGATATAACATCATTTTATACTCTTTTAGTGACCCATTTTATTATCCATCATCGTAGTATACTTTCACTATGTAATTGGTCTTTGATTTGTTTATCACTCTAAAGACTGCGTGTTAACAATTGACACACTCTACTCGCTCAACTTTTGAACTTTGACTACTGTTAGAATGCACATCCGTACTCCTACGCAAGTGCCTTTCGACTTACGTTGTGGATGTCGGGTAATCACAACGTTAGGACACAATAATAAACGCGAAGAAGTACTAGGATATACGTGTACACTCTCTTTGAAGTGAAAATGAAAAGTTTGACAGTAATCTAGTTCGTGTGTTCAACAACACTATCCTCCATGGTTGCGAAGAGGTGGAATTGGAGCAGTATGAACAGCGATCATTGAACATCTGGTCAATAATGAACACCCTATCTCTACAACTCTAGCCTTGAAAGTCATCTAAAAGGTGAAAAACAGCTTGCCCAAATCATAACGTATCCGACGCATCTGTATTGCTGAAGCTTTGGCTGTAGAAATAGAGAAGCAAGATCTAGCTATATAGAAACAAAACCGTTCAATCCCTCCAACCTCACAGTCAAAGTGTGATAATCCCTTATCGTATTTTGACTCCTCCTAGTTTTCGTTTTACTTATTCAGTTTGTGTACTCTTCCCTTATTACGTCAAATGTTACTATT